TTTATGTGATTTGTTATTGATATGGATTCATTCATTTGGAGAGTGTAGAGCCTCCTTTTTAAGAAAATTCTTGTGTGAAGTGACTTGATCTCGTACAATATAATAAGAGCATCCCATATCTCCTTTGCAGTCTTTTTCTCTACAATACTTGACAATACCGAGTCAGCCATTGCTAAGTGTGAATTGACAATAGCATTGTCATCCATCTCTTTCCATTTTTGATCAGTGATATCTGCAGGTTTACCATCAATTTTGTCTAGGCAATTGTCTTTTCTTAGAACCACACTTATCTTTAATTTTCACAATGAGAAATTACTCCCATTAAATTTCTCAATCTTAAATTTTGTTGCCATGATTTTTAACCGGATTACACTATTTCACCGTGAATAGTAGAATATATGTAAGTAATATTGTATGTTTTATCGTGTACTTGAACAAATCGTTAACAATCATTACAAAAGTATGCAACCACACTTAAGAATAGTAACCGCGAATAATAATTGCAGTGGATTAGTGATAACGAGCTAAATGCTCTGATACCACTGTTGGATACTAGAATAACATAATATTATTCCACAACTAAAATAAAGATGAGAAACTTTAATGTATTCTTTTTGTATATTTCTTCTCTAAATGTAGATATCATAATGAATTCACAATAGTTTCTATTTATATAGTTATTGTTACTATTTTATTTAAAGGTGCAAGAGAAACTTATTCTCATCCTTAGAGTTTCTATGGTAAGAACTTTACCGCATTTTATGTAGTAAAAAACTTTTATGGTGTTGACCATTTCTATCACTTAACTCCAATTGGTCAGCACCATAAAAGCTTTTTACTAAATAAAAGGAGGTACGTTTTTATCATAGAAACTCTAAGGATGAGAATAAGTTTCTCTTGCACTTTTAAATATAATATAACAATAGCTATATAAATAGAAATTATTGTGTATTCATCATGATATCTACATTAAGAGAAATATACAGAAAGAATACATTAAAGTCTCTCATCTTTATTTTAGTTGTGGAATAATATTATGTGATTCTGGTACCCCAATAGTGGTATCAGAGTATTTGCTTCGTTATCACTAAGTCGCTGCAATTATTGTTCACATTTACTATTCTCAAGTGTGGTTGTATACTTTTGTAATGATTGTTAATGTGTACTAGATTTGTTCAAGTAAACGATAAAACATACAATATTACTTACATATATTCTACTATTCACGGTGAAATAGTGTAATTCGGTTCAAAACCATTGCAACAAAATTTAAAATTGAAAAATTTAATGGGAGTAATTTTTTACTATGGAAATTAAAGATAAGGACAATTCTAAGAAAAGACAATTGCCTAGACGCAATTGATGGTAGAGATGCAAATATCACTAATCAAAAATGGAAAGAAATGGATGACAACGTCGTTGCTAATTTGCATTAGTAATGGCCGACTCAGCATTGCCATGTATTGCAGATAGAAAGACTGCAAGGGAGATCTAGGATGCTCTTATTAAATTGTACGAGGTCAAGTTACTTCACAGCTTGCCATAGCACTTGGACGTGAAATAATAAGGCGACACGTGATAGAAATTTCAATAGACCAGTGTGCATGATAAGCCACATCAACAAATTGGTCCAGAATTACGATCTTGCGAAAACTATAGCAAACATCAGCTTGAAGCCTCATAGAGTTCCGAGTCCCATAAAGTGGGAAGCACCTCCGGTGGACTATGATTGAGTTAAATTAAACACGGATGAAGCCAAAGACAAGGATGACAACTCGAGTTGTGGTGGGGTATCATTAGAGGGAGTGATGGCGAGTGACTCTGAGACTTCTCTAAACATATTGGTATAAACAGTGTTTACATAGGTGAACTTTAGGGTGTCTTAGAAGGTTCAAAGCTAGCTATGGCAATGGATTTTCAAACATTATTATGGAAGTGGATTCTCAAGAAATGGTTAATGATATTAATTCTGACAATCAGAACATAGCATGAAACTTGATCACTAAAATCTACCAGAAAAAACAATATGTGTGTTGATGCTTTAATTAAAGATGGAAGATAGCAATCGACTTTCATGTGCACCTTTGAGATGTGTCCTTCTTTCCTTAATCAGATTCTTGCTAGTAATTTGTATGAAAATTCTATTCTCCGATTAATTTCGTTGTAGTTTTCTTTTCTGGGCTTAGGCCCTCCCTTCTATAAAAATAAAAGATAACAAATTCAAACTCTTGTACTGAAAGTTGAAATTTTGTAATACTTGTAAAGGGTGGCAATACAACGGATTGACTCTGATTTTTCCGCCCTCAAAATTAGGTAGATGAAAAACTAGATGGTGGCAATACAGCGAATTGACTCAGATTTTTCCGCCCTCAAAATTAGGTAGATGAAAAACTAAATCACCATTCAGAATCCAGGACAAGCCAGTCACAACTTATCATATTATTCTAAGATGTTGATAATGACTTGTTTTCTTAAAACATCATATGCATTTGGACCAAACAAAAATGTGAATGAGCAATCTCAATAGTAACCTGAAAGATAACTAGTATTAAGATCCAACTGAGGGAATGTGAAAATGGGATGTGAGGAGAGACAAGACAACAAGTTAGCAGCATCAGGTGAGGCATGGCTCATTGAGCATTGTTTGCGTGATTTACCAACAATGGTGCATCCCTAAGGGCTTGGTTTAGCTTGGAGGAGGGTTGTTTTCATGAGAACAACACAGATTGAAAATTTTAAACAAAGATTATAATCTCAACTCATCATCAAACACCTGTGCTGGCACAGAACCCCAACATCGGAGATAGGTCAAGATTACAACTAAAACAGTCCACTTGTAATGCAATTTTGCCAGACAAAAGTTTAATCTGATTTTCAAATTTGTCTGCATGGGAACTCCCACTAGCTAGATATACTACGGAGGATGTGGGAGGATGAGGGTTATGTTGCACGACATGTAACTAAGCCAATGCTGACATTTACTACTTCATAAGAATAAGAATAGAAGACTACAAAGAGTTGTAATCCTCCCATCTCATACTTTGCATAGTGCGCTGCTTCCAGTCTCTACTTATCCCACACACTTTCTATTTTCTAACTTACTTTGGTACCATGGAAAGTGAGAATATCGTTTATATAAAACCCAAGACAACCCACTACCAATCTACAAAGAAACTCCCCCTAAGGTGATGTTGATTGTTCAAATTCAAGGATTAAATCCAAACATTCATTTATGTTTTGTCTAATCAGTCTAAAACCTAACATCCTCACTAACCATTTACAAGGCTTATTTTTTCTTGAAAGCCTAAACAAAAACTCCTCTGAGGTGATGTTAATTGTTCAACTTCAAGAAAAAAAAAACCCAAACATTCATTTATGTTTTGTCTACTCAGTAACCTAAAATCTTCATTAAACAAAAGTCACACCAGTAGTTAGACACCAACTAATCAAACAGAATTAATTCACTAAAAAGTTCACCGGGAATAATCTGTATCTTGATGGAAGACACAAATTAGAACCATCTTAGCTCAAAATATCCCAAGAACGGCTAATAAGTCCCATACTCTGTATCTTGATGGAAGACACAAATTAGAATCATCTTAGCTCAAAATATCCCAAGAACGGCTAATAAGTCCCATATGCAACCATCTTAGCTCAAAATATCCCTAGAACGGCTAATAAGTCCCATATTGAACCTGATAACTGTAAAAAGATGTACTTGACAAAACTAAAAACATTGTACATCATCATAGTAGTCAAATGATGGCAATAAAATATGTTGAGTTCAAAGTCAAAAGCATACGATGCATGAGCTCAAGTTCAATGGAAGGCCACACATGCTTTCAAACTATGTGGTAGTGAGCAACCATGGGCATTTCCATGAGGTATACCATGTATTGTATTCTTTTGAAAGCCATACACTTCTGAGTTGCACCAACTAACTTCTAGAGACTCATGAACATTCACTTATCTAAGAATAAGAATAGACACTCTCATACAGAACTAAAATCTCTCTATGGCAATGAAATTTATATTGTTGAAGTTAGAAGACAAATGCCATAATAAACGTAGAAAAACCAACATGGCTCACTGCAACAAATTCAAGTCCAACTCCTTCTCTATACAAGGTCAAGTTGGTGCCTTTGTGTTTGTGCTCAATTTAACTTTCAAGTATTCAAATCATTGCTATTTCTAGCTGATTTTACACCAAAATGACAGAAGTATATACCAGGAATAAGTACAAACAGATTTAATATGTAAATAGTTAGGGCCAAACCTTTCAGTTACTTTGCTATGCAACAAGTTTCATTTTTAGTAACCAAGTGGGGCATGAGCAAAGCCTATGGTGAGCCATTAATAGGTAATCTGCTCAATTGCATAGTTAACTTGCTCTAAATAAATTTTCACATGTTATCAACAAATGAAACCATATTACACTTATAAGGAAATATCAGACCTTGGAAATGAAAACTAAGAATCTAGCAACAGTATAAAATGTGACAGCTTATTATAGTATCAAAGGAAACACAAATTACAAGACTATGTAAGGTGTGGAATGTAGATTATGAAATAATGTATGTCCAATTGATTATGGTACATTGCTTGTTTTAACCATACAATCAAGAAGAATGTGATGAACATGGAAAATTCAAAAACAACAAGTAACAAAATAACTCAGCAGCATATGAGCAATCATCTCCCAGGGTGAAAGAAACATTTGATTTTGAGTACAAACATGAACAGACTTTTTCTCTTCCGCACAATACAATTTGAGTAATACAAACAAAAACAAAATAGAATCTAAAAACATACAGGCAGTATTACAATATCTCTAACTGTAAAATAGAATGTTAGAAAATAAAAAGGGGTCAAAGGAAAAAAAAGAGGAACAGCAAGGCACTAACAGCATAGCAGATTTGAACCACAAATGTAGTTGCACTTGCAATTATAGGCTGATCGCAAACCTAATATCTGTGAATGAGCCAAACCCATTGTTTGTTTCAAAGCTCAAACTCTTCTTCCTTGAGAGCAATCTCGGCAGCCTCTTCTTCCACATCATCAAGCACAAAATACTCATTCTTCTCCACAGGCATAAACATGTAAAACATGACAATGTAAAAGACAAGACTAGCACCCTCCTCGGCAAGATTACTAACCCACCTATACTTATAAGCAGTGATGGTTTTGAGAGCAAAAACAACAATGCGTGTGAAGTACAGGTAACCAATAACAACAATGTAAAACTGCCTGAAAAGCGTTAGCTTTGCGAGATTCCTAGCAGCTTTTCCATCAGTCTTGGATGTTTCCCTAAGCGATTTAATCGACCATACAATAGGAAAAATGATTGCACAACAACAAATGATATCAACAAGCAAGAAAACCTGATTCCAAGTAACCCAATCCTTGATAAAAGGACCGGTTTCACCGATTATAACCGAAGCTAGATTTGCCAAAACCTGAAGAGGAATAACAACCATGAGAACCTTCTTCTCCCTTTCCTGCAGGAATGGTTTGAGGAATGACCATCCAGTGCCAATCAATACAATGACGGTGAAAAGCAACACGACACGAATGAACTGAAAGATGTAAAAGAGAACATCCCAACCGTGTGGAGTTCCGGTGATCTTGACGTAGTGTTTATCCTCGGCAGCGCAGATAAGATTAAGAGCTTTCATGAGGAGAAGAGCCGCCATGAGGAGATGGATCCGGTGAACGGAGAGTTTGTTGTTGTAACAGACATATAACCATACACCGAAGAAACCGAAGTAAATGATGGAGAAGAGAAAGAACAGAGAAGGCAACTGTGTTTGACCGGCGGAGAGATAATCAGAGGAACCATCAGCGTCGAAGTTGAAAAGCTCGGTGCGAACCGCCATGGAAACGGAGGTTTCAGGCGCACAGTTAGAGAAGAAGAGGCTGAACTCATTCGGAGACGTAACGGGGTAAGAACGGTTAAACGACGCCGTGGGAGGAGGTGAGAGGTCACGGAAAGTGAAGAGACGCGTGATGTAACGTGAATCGAGAACGCAGAAGCTAGGGTTTTGTTGGATCTCGATGAGGACTTGAAGAAGGGATTCTTCGCTAAGAAGGAAGAATCCGAGACGAGATGGATCTGGTTGTGATCCGGAGGCGGCGACGGAGACTTCCGATACGGCGATCCGGACGTGACCGGTGTGCGTGAACCCGAATTTCTCTAATAGAATCATGGGTCGGGTATCGGAGGTTATGGTGAGAGATTTGATCTCAGCCGTTGACGGAGGTGTGATTGCGAGGAAAAGAATAGTGATGAGTGAAACGACGGTGGTGATCGTCGTTTTGTCCATTTTTAGAATGAAAATTGAGACTCTGAAGCAGCGATTTGAGTGAAAGTGTGTTTTTCTGTGTTCTGTTTGTTGGCGTATTGTTGAAGGTAGCGATTCAGTGTTGAATCGGTTGTATGATTGAGATGTGAAAGAAGAATTTGGTCTTTCTAAAACGACGTCGTGGTCGTGACGCTGCGAATTTTGATTTGCGGAAAGACTTTGAGGTGCGTTCTGACCCAATTTTGCATTCTGGTTTCATGGGCTGTATAGCGAAAATTGTAGCCCAGCTTAGTCTTGATATCATTTGAAATTGATTTTAACACTTGTACCTTTTACTAAATACACCAACCTCTTTTTACAGTCACTTTATTGAACCCACACTGACTCAATAGCTATATTGATGGCTTATTACATAGTCTATCAACGTTATTAAACACAAACTAATAAATCTTATATTGAATTTGGTGGAATATTAAATAATGTGTGCGCATCGCCTTCGTCCCTATTAAGTTATGAATTTTAATTTTCTTAAAACGTGGCATTATATATTTTTATTTGATTAGAGAAAGATACCGATGGTCAGAATTTTAGGTCATAAACGTAACATTTAAGATGTTAGTGTCATTATTTTAATTAGTAAAAAATTAAAGGGGTCTAACTAATACTAGTATAATTGTAAGTTTGTGGTTAAAAACATAAATGTTATGAAATGTCAGATCATTGTGTAAATACATAAGTCAATATCTAATTTGATAAGGGGTCAAATTAGAATATTGAAAACAAAGAAATGACCCTAAGATTATTTATAGGGATTATGGTCCCCATTTGCAGACAACATGAAAACGATTTATTAGAAAATTACATCTCCATCCCCATCAGAGGAGAATCAATAAGGCATAAGGAACTCTACAAATCGGAAGATCAAATACCTACAAATCTTCGGTGATTCTCAATGGAAAATTCATGTACGCTTCCGCTTTCATTCTCATAATTGTATTCGGGTATGGGTTTAAGGTTTAGAGTTATTTTATTGATTTCTATATTGATAGAAATTACAAGGTTATGAACAGATCTAACAAGTAATATCAAACTCAAAGAACAATATGGAAAAAAAATTCATTTGGTTTATGATTCGACCAGTTGATCAAAATAGGTAAGTGGTCAGCAACACGTCTGTAGTTTTGAACGATCGACGAATGGGGGTTGTACCTGCAAACACTATGATGCTTAAGTCAGTTCGGATGAAGAGGTAAGTAAGAAAGGGTTAAAAAATAGAATACATAACTCTCCTGCAGAGGAGGGTTTTTATATTGAGCTCTCAGGCTTGGCCAATGGTCTCTGTTATGGACTGAATGTTCAAGCCCACAACGGATGAATGCCAGGATTCCTACATGAAAGTAGGGATAAGCAATTCGTACTCATCGTCCTGGGTCAACCTCCCCGTCCTCCGCGAATAATGGATGAACTTGTCTGTTACGAAGGGCAAAACGGCTCCGCGAGGTGTGCAGATTTAGTTGGTGACGTGTCCTTGGGTTAGGAGCACGTGGGAAACGTGTTCTCCACTGCCCCCAACGGGTTGGACATGTACTTTCAGTCGTCCTTGATGTAAAACTGGATTGAACTCTGCTCGACGGTGGGTCAGCCACAGGCCCAGTCCATAACAGTTTATAAATCTTATTCATAATTGTTAGACTTAATGCTAAGGAAATATATTTTACTGAAAGTTAAATAATTTTTTATCATTATTAATAATTATGTTGTTTATTATTTATAATAAATAATAAATGCGTCTTTTTTATTTATTATTTATAATAAATAATATTTATGACTTAATATTTTAGAATCAAACGTAGTATCAATGTCGTAACAGTGCGCATCAGTATAGTAAAGTGCATTGCTATTTTTTATTTGGATTGTGTGTTTATACACTAATTTAATCTTTTTTAAGTAATTAATTGAAATGAAAAAGTCGCCAAAGTGACCACTTTTATAGAAATTGCTTATGAAAAATGTTAAGTTTTTTTTATTGTGTGTATGTTTATCCCTGCGAGTATCAATTGACCCAAAGGACAATTGGTGGTTTGTCGATTTTCATACGCGTTTGTGATGGTAAGCATGTGATAATTATAAGGTCTCACATGTGAATAATAAATCAATCTGAATAGGGGTTTATTATTCGACATGTTTTTATTATCAATTTTTTATCGTTACAACAAGAGTACCACTAGCAGTTAATATTAGTGTCCAAAGACTCAATATTGATGATGCGCTAGGTATCTTGAGATGGAATATGTCTTTATTTGAGCAAATTGATAATTCAGTTTTTTTTATGTGAGTATATTTAAAATGTTTATTTTTTGTTCTTTTTCAGCTGCAATTGCTTCAATATCTACTAATATAAATAAGGTTCGGGTCCTTAATGGGATAGATTTTAAGGATTGGAATGAGAACATGGAAATTGTTCTTGGTTGAATGGATCTTGACCTTCCATTAAGGATGGAGCAACCATATTCTCCTATGGAATCTAGTACCTCTAAACAGAGGAAACTTTTTTAGCAACCATGAGTCATAGTTTAGTCTCTTGTGAGGTCAATTTAGCTTTAGTGCCTGGTGGTAAGACTCTGGTAGAACTACTAACATCAGTGTTTCAAAGAAGACTCGTCTGACCTACCGAAAGCCAAATGATATTGAAAGATACATCTATGTGGGAGGTGGCAAGTCGGTGGAGGTGGAAGTTATAGGGCATTTTAGATTATTAATGTGTACCAAATTTCATTTAGATTTGAAAAACACTTTTGTGGTTCCGTCATTTAGACAGAATTTGATTTCAGTTTCTTATTTGGACAAATCAGGTTATTTTGGTTCATTTGGAAATAATATATTCAAGTTGTCCTTCAATTCAGATGTTGTTGAAACCGATTCACTTATGGGTCATGATAATCTACATTTGTTTGACACAATAGCTACCTATGGTGAATCCTTCAATGTAGAATTACGTGGTACTAAGCGTAAAATTGATGATAACAAATCAGGAGCATTATGGCACAAACGCCTAGGTCACATCTCTAAAAATAGAGTTAAGTGACTAGTGTCAGATGGAATTTTGGATTCCATTGACTTCACAAACTTTGATGTTTGTGTTGAATGCGTTAAAGGCAAACAGATCAAAACAAAGAAATTTGGTACACATAGAGCTACGAATGTCTTAAAATGGATACATACTGACATTTGTAGACCATTTATGACACCTTTTTGGAATGGTCAACAATATTTATATCATTCATAGACGATTATTTTAGATATGCATGCATATTTCTTATACATGAAAAGTCTCAGTCATTTGATGTGTTCAAATCAGTTAAGGCTGAAGTTGAGAATCAACTTGACAAAAGAATTAAGAAAGTCAAATCAGACAGTGAGGGTGAATATTACGGTATATATGACGGTTCAGATGAACAATGTCCAGGACCTTTGTCCAAATACCTGGAGGAATATGGAATCATCCCACAGTACACCACGCCAGGATCTCCTAGCATGAACGGTGTTGCTGAAAGACGAAATCAAACTCTTAAGGATATGGTAAGGAGTATGATTTTTCATTCTACCTTGCCAGAGTCACTCTGGAGAGAGACACTAAAGAGTGCAGCTTATATTCTAAATAGAGTACTGAAAAAAGCAGCGGCCAAAACACCTTATGAGCTTTGGAGCGGGCGAAAGCCTAGTCTCTAACATTTTCATGTGTGGGGATGTCCAGCTGAGGCAAGGCCTTATAGGCCAAATGAAAATAAATTGGACTCCCGAACAGTTAGCAACTACTTTATTGGCTATTCTGAAAGATCTAGAGGCTACAAATTTTATGATCTCAAATTAAATTCAATTTTTGAGATGGGAACAACCATATTCTTTGAGGATATTGAGTTTGGGGGGAATAATAAGGTTAGAGACTTTGTGTTAGAGGAAGAATCGATAAAAATTCTAGAATCGATTCGTATAGTTGCTTTTGATCAAGCAAGTACGGAACCTCCTTAAGACATTGTTGCAATTCCCCCAACTCAAGATGATTTGGTGATTCATGAAGAACAAACTCAAAATTCTCAAGAACAAGTGTTTCAAGAACCAATACCTTCGTAGGTATCCACTAGAGAAAGGAGAAATGCTATTTTGAATGATTATATAGTCTTTCTCTAAGAACATGAAGAAAATAATGGTATGATGGAAGATGATCCAATAAACTTCTGTCAAGCCATGCAGGATTCCAACTCAAAAAAATGGATTAAAGCAATGAAGCATGAGTATAAGTCCATGAAAGACAATAAAGTTTGGGAACTTGTCCCATTACCAAAAGGTGTGAAACCCATTGGTTGCAAATGGATTTTTAAGACCATACAGGATTCTAACGGTAATGTGGAGAGGTATAAGGCTCATCTTGTAGCTAAGGGCTATACTCAAAAGGAATGGGTTGAATTTAAAGAGACTTTCTCTCCAGTTTCATCGAAAGACTCTTTTAGGACAATCATGGCTCTTGTTGCACATTATGATTTGGAACTCCATAAAATGGATGCCGGGACAACTTTCCTCAATGGCAAAGTTGATAAAATAATCTATATGATGCAACTAGAAAACTTTGTGTTAGAAGACTCAAAGAATATGGTTTGCAAATTGACAAAACCCATTTATGGACTAAACCAGGCGTCTCGTTAGTGGTATCATAAGTTTCATGAAGTAATTATCTCATTTGGTTTTGAGGTGAATGTTGTTGAAGATTATGTGTATCACAAATTCAGTGGGAGCAAGTACATTTTCCTGGTCTTGTATGTATATGACAATACTGCTTGCCACAAATGATATAGGAATGATGCACAAAACTAAGAAATTTCTATCAAGAAATTTTGAAATGAAAGATCTTGGTGATGCCTCCTTTATATTAGAAATTCAGATACATCGAGACCGATCTCGTGGTATTCTAGGATTATCATAAAAGAGCTATATCGAAAAGGTACTTAAAAGGTTTGGCATGCGGA